ACCCACCCACCACCTTACTCCTCCTCCCGATGCCACCACCCGCTTCCACGAGTTCTCGAGATATTTATTCATATCGAAACGAAAATTTTCAAGTATTCAGGAAATTCGTATTTTACTGTTTTATGTATAGATTTTTCAAAATTACTAATCATATCCTTATTACGAAGCTTCATAAATAAGATATCACGTTCATGATCGGCTGATTTGTTTTAACGCGTTTCTCGCAAGTGAGTCAAATCTTGATTTTAATTGCGTCATAGGTACGGCACTAAAAGTAGCTCGGTACTTCTCTCTAGAATATAATTAATTATTATTTTAATTGTCAGTATAAATATTCAAAGCAATAAAAACAACGCGTGACCCTACGCTACCTCGAGAGCTTGAATGGGGTTGTTTCGGGGTACTCCGGCCACCCCCGACCGGATACTAAACCACAACTTCAACGTACTTTACGACTGTACCCAGACTTTTTTGGCTTCGCACTGAACATTAGCATACCAATTGAAGTGACTGAAAGAAAATATGTAAAATTGCATATTAACAATATTGTTAAATTTAATTATTCACAAAATTCTTCAAGTAATTTTTTTTTCAACATACTATACAACCTCGTACGTTTATTTTACGTATATACGTGCATATCTCTAGCAAAGGGTGCTTGCACCAGCTTGTTACTTGAAAATCTTTTATTTTCTCAAGAGAAGGCAGAGAGCGAATCTCCCATTGGTAGGAAGGTGGAGCGTTTCGTGATATCTTGGTAAATTCGAAAAAGATTCGCTCCGGGTCGAAGCGCGGAAAGGACAGGGTGAGAGATTTTACTCAAGACGACGTACCGGTACCTAGTACCTAACTGAAGTGAGATAAGGGATAAAACGAGGTGCGGTCGTGTATCCTAGTTTCACGGGTCCCGAACGAGTTCGGAATGACACTTCCTGTCAAACGTCACCCTCATCAACGAGCACCGTCTTCCTGTCTAAGTTTCGACCGTAACTCCATCCCCCGATCCCCATAACCCCTAATACTGCCACTACCTTAAACCCGTACAAACATTTTCCGACAACGTAAAACGTTGCTTCCACTACTCCTTCCATCTAAATTTGGAAGTCAATTTAGAAGAAAATTTCAAAATTTTTTCTAAATCCCCAAACGTTCTGAATGAGGATTGAAAATGATTTGATTTTAATATTTTGTAATGCATCATATATATATCATGCTTTTAATGCTTCAACACGTTTTAGTCTTTTAAGTAACTTTTGGGACTGGAGGTATCTGTGTATTAATTAAGGGAGCAGTTGTCGATTGAAATGTTCACTTGTAAGACAATTCCACAGTAGTACAGACAACAAGAGGGCACTTGTTGACTAAGCCATCGAATGATTAACTGGGACAAGCCACTGCAATGTGGGGAGATTCGATTCGATTCATTGCTGGCTAATGACAGGCAGCCAGCAATATGTCGTCCTCACGATTCCAGTTCCTCCCCCAGCGAAAGCATCCACGTCTGATCCTCACTCAGCCCTCGTAATGAAAATCCATTACCGATTGAGCCAGCCAGTCAACCAACCGTCTGTCCGTTCTCTGGAACCTCCACGGTTCGTCAATCATAATCCTTTCGTTTACGTAAAACAAAAAAAAATGAACCTACCTAAAAACTTACAATTACCATTCGATAACACGTATCACGTATTGGAAGTGACCCCTTAATTGCAATGCGCAATCAGTGATATAAAAAATGGTCGAAGATCCCTACAGATAAAAAAAAATGAAATATCCGATCGGCTTCTGTCTCGAAATACGAAGATAAAGCGAAGAGACGCAAAATGAATCTCGATAAAAACGCATTAGCGTTATCGAATGAGTAAATGAATAAAAAGCAATTCTCAGCGCAAAAGTGACAGTCGATTCGAGGAATAGCAAGCTGACGAGTCGTTGGGTACTTATGGCCTGGAAATCAAACAAACGTTATGACACGCAAATAGAGGCTAATGTGTACCGTAAAATGTTTGCTCTGCGTGAAGAGTGCTCGAGTGCAATTGTCCGTATGACGTAGCAGGACGTGGATTTTCCGTTACTCGACCCCCTTGAAGCGGTCGCGATTAAAGATGAAAAATTGAAAAATGAGCTGAGCCTGTACTCGATAAAAATTATAATCGCTGTTAAAGTCACGTAGAAAGTAACCGTGAAGATGAGGTCAATGGTGTCAGATTCGTTTGGTCACGAGTGACCTTTAGTTAAGGAGAGTATATGTACTAATGTATATATATACGCATACATACATATAATTGTAAAGTATATAACACTAACGACTCAGAGTCACAGCATCCATCGCTAGATGAGATTCTGGACCATGAACGAGTGTGACTATTAATTAATCATAGAACTGTATTATTTCCTATTTAAGTATGTTCTTCACTTCCTCGAAACTCCTCGACGCACGCAAGGGATGGGCATTGAATTCTGATCCATTCACGGGATAAATCGTAGGCGCACACTTTGCCGCTGTACAAAGAGGCGTGCGAGTCACGACTACACCGAGGCCCTTTACAGACAGGCTGCGTATAAACATGTCAGTCTGGCATGCTCGCC